CAGTGGTAGGACATCCAAAAGCTTAAGAGGTGGACTGTCTAAACTGCAGCCATGTGGATGCTCACAAAGCAGCCATGCTGGACTACTTTGTTAAAAAGTAACCTATGGTTTGTACAGATCACCTGAGTAATGGCACAGGAGTATGATTAAACTCAGGTATCTTGGGAGAGAAGATGTGGTATGGAGGTGAGGCCTACATCGCAGTTTGTTTAAACAGGCACAGAAATATCTTGTAACTTGGAACTATTTGTTTTGTTTTCCTTTATTCTTTTAGCAGCGTGTTCTGTGTAATGCGTTCCTTATGAGCGAGTGTTGAAACTGAGGTGGTGTTAGGCAAATATCTGTTCCTATGGAAAATTAATGGGATTTATGTTACTCAAGAGTTTATTTACTAGCAGCCAAAAAGAAGATGCAAGTATCTCCCCATTCCCCTCATCTCCCCTCCAGTTGTGCTTGTTTGCTCTCAACAGTAATTTTACACACTGGTTCCTGTGCTGTCCCTATTTACTGTCCTAAGGACATCACAGTATGCAGGTAGGTCATAGCAGACAAGGTCATACGAAGAAGCTGTCAAAGCAATACTGTCGTTCTGGTAACCCTTTAGAGCCATGTCTGTCTACATCTTGTGCTGTCCGCTCCTGCCTTCCAACCTGTTTGCTGGCTGACCTTTTATTTCCTGATCTTTGCATGTATAGCACTGGATGTGGCTGTCACAGGTACCTGCTGTTGGAATATCTATAGTCTGGGGACTATGCTGGTCAGCACACAACACTTAAATGAGTCATTATCTACTAGAGTTTGAAAAGAAGAAAATAATTGTAAAGATATTCTTGAAAGTTCTGTGTAAAGTCTCCTAAAACGAGGTAATATCTCAAACTACTGAAAATGGATGGTGGATTCAATGTAGTTGTGAAGAGTTTCTACACAAGTTAAAAATTCAAGTAAACTGACTTGTTAGGTTGTGGTGTGTGGGTTTTTTTGGTTTCCTTCCTTCAAAATTCTGTCTTCTGACATCAGTCCCCATAACAGCTGAACAACTTCTTCCATTAGGGCTTTGGAGAACATGTGGCAGCTAATATTTATAGGTGCTAACTTGATCTTTGTGTTCAGAATGAAGAGAGTGTACCATTAATTATCAGATGCTCTGGTATTTCTGTTCTTGCAAGCATGTTTGGGATGCTGCAAACCATAAACTTACTAAACTGTAAGGTCTCTTGGTGGAATAGGCACTGTCAAAACTTTAAATAACAAACTGACTTGGGTACAGAAACCCTTTAGTGCCCTTAGGTAGAACAGTGCTTTTCTAGCTTGTACCTTTGTCCTATTAAAAATCTTATTTTTTATGTATTTATTGTCATGTTGCAGGTGGCTTAGTGCTTCACAGTTCTGTTCATTTATATATGGCGTATCCTTTTGCTAGCTTTCCGATTCAACCAGTGAGCATTTGGCTATTTGACCTTGCCTCTGGCCAAAGCACTTGTTTAATTGCTTGTAAGTGGCATAAGCACAGCTCTTCTGGCACCCTTGTGCCACTAGAACGGATAAAGAATGAATTTATATTCAGTTTTCCAAACTTTCATAGTAGCTATGCGCATCTTTTAGTTAGTCCTTGTTGTCTTCCTCTCTGCATAGCTCATTAAGTGTAAGGACACTCAATGAGTCTACTGGTGCTGCACAGTAAAGAGTTTGCCTGAAACTATTCAAATAAAGGACACTTGCTAGTGAAAAATGCAGCAAACTTGCCTGGGAGAGCCATTAGAGATGGTTGCGGGTATTATTTCAAGGTATTACTTGAAAGTGGAAGGTTGAGCGTTATATGTATTGATAAAAACTTTGTTGTTCGATAGCTATTTCCATTAACATATGAGAGCTACCAGATAATGTGTGACTTTACAGTATTATGCAATGTAGTCTAGTTTTGGAAGTACTGAATAATATTAGAAATGGTAGTCAAGATGATAAGACTTCTTGTTTCCTTTAGATGACCCTGTAGAGACTTTCATCCACAGATAAAAGATTTACCTGGGTTTTTTGAACAGTTGATGCTAGAGATACTGAAAAGTTTGGAAAATAGTTGTATGTGGAAGCTCAAATAGAAAACACGGGGGGAATGCAAGACTTCTTACAATGGTTCACTATTTTATTTTTTTGTTTTTGCACACCCTTTATCATTCTTGCCTGTCTGAAGTATTTACTTTTCTCTTCAAAGAAATTAATTTAGTCTGTTTGCTTTCCGCTTGCGTTGCCCCAGCCCTCTTAGGCTGCTTTAGGATTTTGAGTGCTATGCAGCTGCTTCCTTCTGATACCATCGGAGTAGCACTGAGCTCCGGGGCTGCCCCAGTGAGTCACCTGGTAAAACCAAAAGAGTCTCATGAGATTCGGGCTCATCTATCTGTAAATAAGCATGTGCTTGTCTACCTTGTTTTTCCTGTAAACTGCTGAAGCAGTGAAAGTGCTTTCTAGGCATGTGCCCTTGACACACAATGCTAAAAATAGGGCAGTTTGACATCGCTACAAACTTGCAGGCTTCCTAGTTGTCTAAAAAGACACTCCCCTACTTAAGGAATTATTTCAATGGGCACATTTTTTTCTGAAAGTGAGTAAATACTCTAAGGTATTCAGAGATGTTCTGGTTTGTTTTTTTTTTTTTTATTTGACACTAATACATAGGGCTCCCGAATTCACTTCTTCAATGTATGAACAAAGTTAGGTGGCATATCTGTTCATAATGTTCTCGGTAACTTTTTATAATCTCACTGGGAGAGAGCAGAGGTGAGTTTCAGTCTTTTAAGTCATCCATCCCCTTTCTTTATGATGTCGGTGCTTTTCTGAACATTTTAAAGTACTGTTATTGTGCTCGTGAAGTCACATCGTCGTCTTTCACGCTGGTTATTGTCACACTTACTAAAAGAACTTCAGATGCAGTTGAGACCTCATTAGAAAAATAATCAGTTACATTAGCCGAAGTTTGTCTGTTTGTATGACTGTGCTTTTGTCACACCTTTCTTCCAAGAGCTGAACTAGTTAAGCCTGTGAAAGCACTTCATGCTGGTTTTTTACTCGTGTGACATTGTGTGCATTGCATGAAGGGTACCATACCTCCCTCAGATGCGTTCCTCAAAACTTGTACTTCAGACCTGTGCAGCTTGCTGTGCCTCCAAATGCCATTTTCCCTGGTTGTGCGGGAAGCGACCCCTCAAAGCACAGCCCAGGACTGATTTAAGTGCAAAGCCTGTGTTAGAGCCTGAACCAGAGAGGTGGCTTGCTGTGCTTGGAGAGGGAAGGGGGATGTTTGGCGCTGGGTGTATGAGGCCTGGGGGAAAGGGAGGGGAAGAGAGATTTATTTTAACTAACTGTAAGCTTTATGTAGCTTCCTTCCTTCCTTGCTTCCTTTGCCCCCTGCTTTACCTTTATGGTAAGAGCATACAACAGTCTATTTAGCTTTTAAGAGAATTATTGCCGCTGCCCAAAAGGAACGTTTTTTGGGCTTTTTCACCCCAAATTGTCCCCAGGGTGCCTGTGACACGTGGTGTGGCAGCGGTGTCTGGCTGGCACATGCGTGGGCAGGCTCTGGGCAGGGGAGAGTGTCGGGGATGCTGCTGTGCAAGGAACTGGGAGAGGACCCTGCACTCACTCCCAGCCCAGGGGCAGAGGAAACGCAGTGGTCCGGTAGCTGTGAAACCTTGAAGGCAGCGGAGATGAGGGGTGTAGGAAGGGGGGGCAGGCAGGCTGAGAAGCAGCATCCATGGCCTAGAGCCAGGCTGTGAAAGCGTGGGGAGATGAGAGGAAGTGCTGGTTTTGGCAGGGCAGGGCTTTGTTTTGCTAGGTTGGTGCCATTGTTGCTGATGAGAGAGCAGTGGTGGGGGATCTCGTGGCCTCCTCGCATCACCCTGCTGTTCAACCTCCCGTTCCCTTGGTGCAGTTGTAGCCTGTTTACTGCTCAGCACATCCACTGCTGAGGTGGAGGTTCACTGTCCTCCCTCTCTCTCCACTCCCTCATATATATCCACAGACTCTAAACTTCCCTCAGGCTTCTCTTTTGTAGCTGATATGACCGCAAGGCTTTCAGCTGTTTCTGGGAGGTCATGTTTTGTGGGCTTTGGAGGGTTCTCACTCCTGTGCTGCAGATGCCTTCAAAGCAGTTTGTGAGCGTCTTCAACTGGTGGCACACGGTGCGCAACCAGGGCTGTGGGGAAAGACATGATAGGACTAGCTGGGGAGAGGGAAGAGCCATTGCAGGTTCAGTGCTGGGAAACAGCATTTGCAGAGAGTCTTGTCTCTGCAAACGTAATCTGGCTTATTCCAAACTGATCATCCTTGCAAATAAAATAGCTCTCAGTGCTTGCATTGTGTCCTGCCTTATACCAGTCATTAGTATTGCACAGGATTCTTTGACACCTATATCCATCAAACTCTTCAGTGAATTTCACTTTAAAATAATCCAGGATCCTTGAGAAAATGAATGTTTAGTTTCTATACTTCATCATTCTCTATTGCTTTAGAAGCAGAACTGAGGAGTTTGCAAGCTGTGCTTAGTTTCCTTCCCAGCTTGAACCACTATAAAGTACAAGTTACACAGCATTAAAAGACAGAGACCAGGCTGTAAAGCAGTCCAAATTAAGCTGTTCATTTCTAAATCATGAATAATTCTGCAAACCCTGTTGTACGAGAGAAACGCATGTCCCTGCTTCGGCATTTTTGAATCAGATGCAGAAATGGCATATGGCTGGGACAAAGAAAAGAGGAAGAACGTGACTCGTGGTGCATGAAAATATATATGTTGCTGCACTCTTTCACAGCTCATAAGCAGCAATCTAAAATGAGAAGAAACATAACCTTTTTTAAAAAAACCCGTAATCTGTGGGTGAATAGACTTCCTCTGTTGGGAACCAACAGGTTGACACCCATGCTGGGGTGGCTGCACAGCCGCTTTGTAAGCAGTGGCAGGGCTCACTCGGTGAGACTTGGGCCAGCTGCCCCCTTCAGCCGCTTGCCCCAAGGTCATCGTCTGCCGTGGCTCTTGGCATCGTCCCCCGCAGGCTTGGCCGGAGCTGCGGAGAGGAGCCCGCGGTACAGGAGAGCACGGGCTGCTGCCGGTGGAGCTGCAGGCGCACGTCTGGCTCCTACCTCCCGCTTTCCTCCCTCCTCTCTCCCAGTTGCAAGGCAGCCTCTCCCTTCTCGCCGCTCACGTGCCCGCTGGCCGCTTTGCTCCGAGGTGCATGGGCAAAATGAAGCTCTGCCCGCCTGCCGTGGCCGCCGCCGCCAGGAGATTCTGCGTGGGAAGCCTCGAGGTCTGTTTTCGCACCCGTGTGCTGCGAGCGCAGCTTCCTCGGCACGGACGAGTGTCGCGGGGCATGAGCTCATTTTCAGGACCCTTCGCACAGCTGCGCGAGCCTCCACTGCTGTGTCTTGTCGCCAGCTTTGCGGTCGTCCTAGCTTTTCTGGGGAAGTTATTGTTGTAAACAGGCATGTGCTTCACATATATGGTTTTGTGCTGGTGTTTTTAATGAGGGAAGAACATTACACGCTACACCAGTAATGTGCGTTGCAGTCGTTACACAGATGGCCGTATCCTCACGTGGTCTGTTTCATACCAGATTTACAACTGCGTGTTCATTATTAGACTGAGCTCTGTGCAAGCGGTGTTCACGTAGTTGCCTGCGTATTTAAAGGTTACACAGATACAATTCTTCTTGGTAATGCTGAGTAGAGAGCAGTTTCTTTATCTAGCAATTGACACTTGAAAAAAAATGAATCCAAATATACTTGTTGGGGAGGCTTTGGTTTTCTGAAGCCAAGTAAGAAAGATTGGAACCGTTTTTGAGGATCTGGAATATTTGATGTTTCTGTTGAGAAGTGTAGTGGTGCTGAGCTCTTCTGCTGACTTGTTCTGGGTTAAGGAGTTTAACTTTTGACATCCAAGTTGGAAAACTATGCATTTCTTTTTTTTTGATCTGACAGTTTGGTGGTTTGTAACCACTGTTACAGCACAACTTATACTTGCATGGGGTAGTTTAGAAGTATACACAATGGGGCATTTATTCAGTTTTTATTATTATTGGCCAGCGTGAAGAGGTGATTGTATTTTAGATGAGAAAACATAATATTTCACCCTCTCCACGCATAATTTACCAGCTGGAATTTCGTAATTATAGTTCTAGTTAAGTTTGCAGTTGGTAACTCCAGAACTTGAACCATTAGTCTTCTCTCTAACGGTTAGAAAATGAGTGTTTAATTGAATGATTTGTAGTGACCAATGTCTGCTCTTTCCTCACAGTGTAACAAATGAAGCACAAACATACAGATAGTTTCCTGCCTGGTATGCTCATAACATTTCTTGGGGGTGATGGGCTGGTGACGTGTGCTTATGTATTGCAGTTTAAGCTTTTTGTAGCTTCGAAGCTGGAATTGCAAGTTTTCCCCAAACTTTTCCAAACAAATTTAATGATTTTATTTTTCAAAGCTGCTGACAGTTAAGCACATGAGTTTTTGTGGACCCTGCTAGTGTATCTCAGTGCATCTCTGTTACAGACTCGGGTTGTCTTCTGTTGCATTCATGGCATTGCCACAGGTGGTAAGGTGTTCTCATTGTTGTCACTTGCTGTTCTGCAGTGCTCAGAGTGCTAAGCTAAATTCCCATTGCCATATTTATAGACTTACAAAAAAAAATCAATGGCAAAAAATTAGTTTACAGATGCGTTAAGCTTCATGTAACCTTAGCATTCACCAGTTCTAGAGCTTTGTTTTCCCTTTTTCTTGAAATCACTGCATACCTACTTTACAGTTTTTCTACAGTACTTCTCATCTCCATTTAAGAGCAATAGAAAGTAGATTTTGAAAATCTAAAGGGGAGGAAAATGTCGAACTTCTTGTTACATTCCTTTTTTTCCTTATGTATTTTGTATTTTAACTGCAAGTGTGTTTACACAGCTGTCTGCATTCATGTACATGTCTGCTCCCCCAGTATGTGAACTCTAATAGATGGATGATAATGTTTTGTGCCTATGCACTCACATACAGATTTATATTAACAAATCATGTTTTGCTTTACGTCCCAGTTTCTGTTTTTTAATGTTGCACAACTTGCACTTTATTGTTGGCTCAAACTGGGAATGAAACAAAGGAGCTTGCAAACACCTTAGCACTGTTTCTAAAGCAATAGAGAATGATGAAGTGCAGAATCTAAACATTCACTTTCTGAAGTATCTTGGATGATTTTAAAGTGGAATTTATTCAAGGATTTGATGGATATAGGCTTATTCTAAACCAGTTACTGACATATCAAATTATATTTGTAGAGACAAGAGTTTTAGCAGATGATATTTTCCCACAGCTGAGTGGAATGGCTGTAGGTATTTCCATTCACTTCACATTGCCACCGCCTTGGAGATGAACATCCTCCTCTCAGCTAGTTCTGTCACGTTGGTCTCTTTAGCCAAGTGTTTCTGGAGCCCTGGGTTTGCTCTTCATGTGCCGCTGTAAGAAGCGTATGGACCTCTCTGAGAGCATCTCCAGCAGGGGAAGTAAAACCCAACTAAAACCTGACCTCCAAGGAAGACCTGAGAGCATTAAGTCTTTCCACTGTCTTTTGCGAAGATTAAAGTCTTCAAGTCCATAAAATATTTCATTGTCTGTTGTAGACAAATGAAATGGTAGCAGTCTTAACGAGTATAAACCATCTGTGGTGATATGGGATGGGTATCTCTATTGGTGAGTGTCTAAAAAGTCATCCATACCTAAAATATCTCCAGTGGTACAGATTCAAACGCTGGCTTAAAATTCCTGAGGTGTAGCTGATCGTACCCGATGCTGGGTGAAATGACTTGTTTAGATCTTGAATAGCTCTGGTGGTAGTAATTCATATAGCTGTCTGTTTTCAGAATTTGGCAGGGACATACCAAAAGTCAAAACCAACTTCAGTCCAGAATCTAATTCATCAGACTGTGGTTCTGAAACTAGGTAGCTGTGGCTGTCATGGGACAAGTTCTGGACCTGATCTTCCAGCTGCAGTCTTACTGCGGTATGAACACTGGTGGCTGGGTTGACTGGACTTCAGTGGACACAGAAGGTCATTAAAAGCACTTGGACTTTAAGTCAATGCTCTTTGCACACAACTTGCAATGTGTCTGTATTGACATTGTTCTCTTTGAAGCAGTGAGGGGGAAAAGAGACCTCAGACACCTCAATATTAGGATAAGGGAACACACGTACAGGGCGTGTACATGTAGAAAGTGCAGGGTTCAGGTCTCGGAGTACAGGGTTTCTGTGTGATGTACATGAGGCCAGCCAGTGCATGGGGGCTACTATATATCCTTTTCTAAATTAGTCATTCTCGGTGTTTCTGTTATGTTGTAAAACTTTTCCTGGTAGACCTGCCCTCAACTGCTGATATGAGTTCTAGTCATGCCTTTTCCAATTTGGCTGAAGAGTATTTAATTTTGAATATCTTTAGGAGGCCAGCTTGAGCTGTATTTATCAAATAGTATAAGTCTATGATGAGATGCCAAATTCAGAAAATAATATTCCATGTGTCTTACCAGACTTTGAGATGTCGCTTCTTAAATGAGCCAATCATGGGTGAAGTGAACGTTATTCACCTTACTCTAAGGCTACACAGAGTTCTTTGAGATGTGTGTGCTGTGCACACATCCCACAACCTACATTTTTATGCCTGAAGCAGTTTCACATATCAGCTTGCTCTTCTGTGCTCAGAGTCCTGCTATCCTGCAAGTGGGTGGGATATGAATGAATATGTATAATATGTTGTGTGTGTATATATGCATATATACACACAAATATATGTGAAAGAAAGGTACTTAAAAAAAAAGTAGCAGTCAGCTGCCCATATTCAAGCACAAGCAGCTGTAACCCACATGTTTAGCAGCAGTAGTGAAGATCTATGCAGGAGTGTGGAGAGAAATGCGGGGCTGGACCATCTCTGATCAAATCTTTTAAATCATCTCGAGTAAGGATTTGCTACGACTTATGTCTGTCAACTGCAGAAACCAGCTTGAATGGTTTTCTAAGAGGTTTCTAGGAGAATGTACTAACATTGTGAATATGACAACTATGTTTGTACTTGTGAAGTATTTCTGTTTTCATTCTCACACAGTACAACTGGAGGTAAGCAAACCACTGTCTTCATATTATTCTTGTTAAAGCCTGCTTTTCAGCATTTTTCTTGTGATGAAAATCCAGCTGAAGGCATTGGTACCTGCACCTTAACAAGAAGCAGATGAGAGGAAGTGGGTAACACTTATTTGTTGGCTTTTTTTAAAATTAAGGACTGGTTATTTATGTAACATGTAGTCACAGATCTAGTCAACGTGCAGATAAATCAGGTTCCCTTTTTCCAGAATTTGGACAGAGATGTCTTGAGTTATTGTTTCCTGACTTCGTGTCTGAAGGTATAAAAATACCACAAGCACGGAAGACTTTAATGGTAGTTTTAATGCGGCCAAAACAGTGAGGAACATAATCTCATACAGGCATTATTTTTCAGAGGGTTATGTTCCCTGTCAGTGGCACGTGAGCATTTCTTCATTTCTTTTCTAGCTAGAAATTGAAAAAACCTGACTTGCTGAGCGAACTTTGCTTTTTTACTTTAAAAAAAAAAAAAAAGAGGGGGAGGGAGAGAAGGGTGAGTGATTTCTGCTCCCCTTACCCACCCTTGGAAAGCCCATTGTTGCCTTTGAGCTGCTTCTTGCTGCTGTGTTCTCTCATATTCGATCCCTGCAAGTACTATTCCCTTTTTCTCTTGTAAAACGTACTGAGGAAAAAGCTTGTGTCCTTAAGTTTTTGGCAAGACTCACAAAAGGAAAGCAAGTAAACAAACAAACCCATAAAAAACAACAACAAAAAGTGCTACAGTTAGTATTGAGGTGTGTTCAAGGGAATGGTTGCCAGAGTGGAGCAGTTGGTCCATCAGTCACCAGAAGGCTGGTCTTTTTGTCGTCTAGAAATAGGTTGCTGCCGTTTTTGCGTGTGTCCATCCTTGCGATGATTCTTCTGAAAGGGGCAAGTAAAAAATCCCAGACAAATGGAAAGTGAAACCTGTCTCTGAGCACACAAATGGACATAAAATGCACCCTTTTTATAAGTTTAACCTCAGAAGACTCCAATTGACTGAAAGTGGATATCAAAGACTGTGTGTCCAAATGGCTGCCAGAAAAATGAGGGTCCAAAAGTTAAGTTTATCTGTGATAATGCCTGGTGTGCACTTCAGGAGCTGCTCTGTGATAGCCACTGCTGATCCAGGTTAAGGGACAACCTGCATTGTATTGGTGGGAGACAATAAAAGGAACAAAGCTGATATGTCTCCTTGTCACCATCAATTTGTATTTTCAGAGCATTAACCCCAGGGCTAATTCCTCTGTCGTACTGGAAAGCACGAGAGCCTTTATTAAACATAAAGAGGACACACCCTGTGCATGTTGTAGTGTGCAGAGGCAAAGCGTCTCTGCCTTAATTGTGCTTTTTGCTCCTGAGCCCCTGGGCTGGGGGTGACAAAAGGAATGTCTGGGCTGTTTTTTCACCCCTTCTTCTAGGAAAAGCTAATATGATCATCAAAATATTTTTAACTATCTGCCTCTTTCTTGTGAAAGCTCACCATGGTGGGTAAGGTTACATGCAGAAGTCTTCCTGCATGCCGGTTGGGAGTAACAGTAGATAACTTGGAGCCTGCAGCTAAGATGAGCATATTGGAGTGTCTGTTTACAAATCAAATATCGGCCTGGCATGGCCTGCCCTGGCAGCAGAGCCATACGTGCTCTAAAATTAAAGAGGAGGCTGGAAAGGGAGACATTCCTCATGTTCTGGGCTGGTCTCATTGGTTCAACAGCATGTACCACCACTGCGCTGCTGGCATGGTAGCCAGCACAACTACAGTAGCACATTGTGCGCTGGTGGGTAAGAGCTCAACAATAAGGGCCTGGAAAACCCTGCTTTCAATAGAGAGGTTTTTAGAAGACTGAATATTACCAAAATAATTTCACAAAGCTATATAATCTGAAAAGCAACTGAAGTGACTGCCCTTGATCTGCTGCCAGACCTCATAGGGGTATTGCTTTCCACAGGCTGCTGCAGCACTCGGCCATGTTACCCCATCCCATAATTTTTTTTTTCTCTGCCATAGCTGAGCTTACTATTTGTGCTAGTTTGAAAGTTAAGCATGCTCTTGGGGAAGCAGAGGGAAAAGTGATTTTACTGTTGCTATGTGGAGGAATGGTCAAATGCTTGCATGTATTTTTGGGGTGGTACAGAGTGTTTAGACTTTAAATTCTAGCAAAGAGTGTTTAGGTTTCTAACCCAGCCTCCAGGGCTGGCAGCAGCTCTTCCAGTGTTGTCATCCCTGCTGCCAGGGACGTTGTGATGTCCTGGAGGGGACAATATGGCAGTCTCTTAATCTGAACCTCTCAAATCCAGTTAAAGTCCAAAACTTTAAAAAATGTTGGTAAAAGGTCCACAAAGCAGTGAGACTTTTTCATTTTTAAAGTAAAAAAAGCATCTGGAAATGGGATGTGCTTGGCTTTTCCTCCTGCTCAGTTGGGAGCAGCGAGTCTGCAGAAAGGTGCTGTTCGTAGTGCTTTCAGGAGCTGTGCTGGCACAAATGCCTGTTCTTCCATGTTTAGTGTCCGTATTTTATTTAGAGCTACTGACACATTCTCGTTGCTTATTGGAAAGTTTGCTTCTAGCTTCACAGAGGGAGAGGGTGGCTCAAATTTTTGTGTTTGTTTTCTTGGCATTTTAAATATTTTTCATGTCTTCTGGGATGCTGTGCTCTATGCGTCTTGTGGTCATTAACCATAATTTAAGAACCTGTCTTTATAGTAGAACATGTGCAATGGGCTCGTCTTTATTCAGTTGACTTTTGTCTGAAGAACATCTTGGAGTATCTGTGTGCTGAGCAGAGCTCTGCCATGCTTTGTTAGAAGGTCTCATCTGTCATGCTTCTGACTTTTATTTTTGGTTTGGGTTTTTTTTTCTCCTTTCAAGTATCTGGGCGATGAAAATCATGTCATCAGTGTTTTGTGTCGCATGCTTTCCAGCTTCAAGACTTCTTGTATGTGGCTGCTTCTGTATGCTGAGCTGTTTCCATCTCCCTGAAACTGAGCATTGGTGTGTATGTGTGATGGTATGGTTATACAAGAGTGTGTATTAGCTGCTTTCTGAGGCTTCTGCTGCTGCTTGTCTCAATCTCTCTCGTTTACGTTCACCCTGCATTCACTTACACCCAGAAGATGCTCTGGCGTGGCCACTGACCTGGGATCCTGATCGTCCTATCTGCTCCCTTCTCTGACCTGGTTGTGACGCAGCTCATCCCTAAACTCTGTTGTCCAGATTTTTGGAGATCTTTCTTTTATAATGCCCTTCACGTTTTAGAAACACCTCCAGTACTTATTACTCCCACAGTAGCTGGTCACTTCCCCTATGACCTTTCCTACACGGGGTAGATCCTGTTCCCTTTGAAACATCTCCTGGACACTCCTGCTTCGCTCTTCACCTCCATCCCCAGAAGCCCAGGCAGCAGCTGGGCCACCAGTCCTTGCATCGCTGCTGTGACCTCCCTGCCCTCCCAGCCAGGCTGCACATCCTTCAGCTCTCGGGCTGCCTATTCCTCATTTCTATGGCTAGGCAGTAAGGAGAGCCTGCTCCACACTTCTGGAGCAGGCCAGGCTGGCTGAGGACAACCTTGAGTTTCAACCAAAAGATCATGTGCATGTTTTCACTCCCCCTCTCCAATACTTCCCCACGTAGCTGTTGCACCCACTGCCCATACCTTGCAAGCTCTTTGAGGCAAGGGCCACCCTGGCTTGTTGCTGCTTTTGTATGCACAGCCGCTGTTTAATGCAAGAGGTGTGCGCTGCTAGTGGTTTGAAAGCAATTTTTCCACCGCTCTGGCAGTCGTCTACTACCACTCCGTGCATCTTCTTGCTATGCTCAGCTCTGAATAGCACATGTTTCATTCTCATCCAGATGCCATGAGCAGGGACTTAAGAGCTGTGGCGCCCCTAAATATTCAGCAGGCGAATAACCAAGATTTCTTAGTTCCTCTTACACCGCCTCCTCTTTCTTCTCATGTCAATAGCAAAGCACTGAAGTACTCCTTCCCTCTGTGCCTAAAAATCTAGTTCCCCTTCTGTTGGGCTGAGCATTTCGCTATGAATCAGTGAAAAATCAGAATGAAGTGTACATTCATACAGGCGTATGCTGGGGATTTACACTCCCACTTCCCTTATTTTAAACAGTGCTGGCTTTTTAAATGTCAAAAAATTTAAATTTTAAGCTTTTTAAGGAGAATGAGTTGTTTTGACAAGAGGACGTAGTTTATTGTATAGTAAATGTGAAACTGGTAGATGGCATACAACTTCTCGATGCCCTGCAGTATTGTTCACCTTTACTCTTAATTTATTACTACTGCAGATGTTTTTGGTTGATGTTCAGGGGAATATTGCCATAGAGAGTTAAAGTACTTTTAGTGGAGGATAGCTTGTGGAGCTACTTGTGGAGCAGCAGTGAAACAGGACTGGATCCACTGTGCCTGTTTTTAGAGTGTGAGAAAAGTTGAACTGCAACTGAGTGTTCAGGTTTTTGTAAAGTGTTGGGTTTGATTTTAAAAAAACAAACAAACAAAAAAACCCACCAAAAAACCCCACAACCAAACAAAAAAACCCAAAACAACAAAGTGTATCAGCCTAGCACCTGGTGTTACCGAACTGCTCATATGCTTGTGCAAGGGTGACTTTTGCAAAGGATGACTCTAGCGACTTTTTTAGTTGCTGAAGCCTGATGTCTTGGGCAGAGCTGATTTAGTTGAACTGAAAACTTGGCTATAAAATATAAGGAAGAGACTTGGGTCTAAACTTTCCTGTGGGGCCAGTAAGAATAGAGAAGCCTCTGCTGCATTGTGTTTGATTTCTTGTGCTTTTCATAAGTAGGCCTGAGGAATAGCAGGTGATTTAACTATGTTCCAGGCAAGGAGTTCTCTTTGAATAAAAGAACAAACAACGACCCCAAACCATATATCATCTGTGTTAGATGGTAGCCCCTTTTCCCTTTATGAATTCCAGTGCATGTGAGGAATTAAGGGTATTTCAGGTTTCCAGTCTGTGCAATTATAGAGTATTAATTACTGCAAAGTGAGTGGAATGGTATAAACTTGCCTCCTTCATGATTGCATCTCTTTTGCAAGAGGGGAAAACATATTCTAATTTTATTAATAATAAGGCTGTATAATAAACTTCAGAGTTGGAGAGCTTGCTCGTGAATGGAGAACTCTCCCACCCCTCTTTGTAGGAGGCTCTCAATGCAAGTAGATGGAAGCAGACAGCGCTCTTAAACCACGTTAGGCGTAGTTAACTCATTTAACTGTGGCCGTTCTCCTTGAATTGTTCCAGTCATCTTACTTGTCATTCGATTGCTCCTTCAAAATTGACACTTAAAAGTAATTTATAGTCTGTGAGCTGTCAGCTAGCACTCAGCATTCACACTCTGAATTGTTTTGTTTGTGTATATGTAGGTCAAATGTTATTAGCATAGTGCATCTCTTGCAGTCTTAAATTTCTACTTTAGGTAATCGCAATCAAAATTTTGTGGTTTTCTGTAAACATTTTCTTAAACCTTATCTTTCAGATTAGAGCATGAGTTGGCCACAAAGCTGGGATACTTTAAGATAGGCTTGGAAATCTCATGGATCTTGGTAAATGTGTTTAACAGAATTTCACTGTAATATCTCTTTAACTTTTAGGGGGGTTTAATAACTTGGTTTTGAATGTTATAAATATGTATACTTTTATTTTTATGACTATCTGAATGATTAGGTAGATGTCAGTTAATGTGTCTTCCCACAGAAATTTTCTACACTCAAAACCCCTGTGACTTCCCCTTTGTTCCACGGTTCATGTTTCTGCAGCTTGAAGGCTTTGACAGCACTTAATTGTTGTTGTTTGCAAAGCTCTCATCTCTGCATCAGCACTGTGGAGACCTTAGTGTAGATTTTATTGTAATCTGAGTCTGCAGCTTAAAGTAATTCAAATACTTGCTTTACCAAGATCTCTCCTTCTTGCTGCAAAGTGTATATAACTTGCGTTTTTGACTGACCCCAGGCTTGACTTCTTGAGTCCCGCTCCAAGCTCCTCTACCTCTTTCAGTGCCCAGTCCCCACAGCAGGGACTAGATAAGGTATCCCCTTTCCCCCTCTCTCCCTGAAAATAGCCATACAGAGCAGGAGAAGTGGGTTAAGGAAAACTTGTCTCCTCCGGCTGATGGGATGACTTCAGTGATTTCAGGTGTAGGTGTCACAGCTACTCAAGTGACTGAGCTGCCCCATGTGTTATGAGGCTGCTACTGACGATCTGCATTCGGGTACGGGAGTTTTGCGATACCAGCAAAATAACTAGGGAGGTGAGGTAGGTAACACACACTGACAGCTCGAGGGAAAGTTTTTTGTATGAGTATGTCCAGCAACCCAGCCTGCGTGTCTGTAAGCCTCTGTAAATGCAGATAACAATTCTCTCCCTTAAGTAGCCTCTTGTATTTCAGACGCTTGTTGTTTAGAGGCGTAACCTTCTCTTGAGTGTCTGGTCCACAGCAGTGCTGTCCTTTTAGTAGGACTGCTGGGAAACCAAAGGCATGGCATGCCTCTGGTGGATGACCAATTTAAAAAGGGGGAAGGGGAATCCTGTAAATATAACTCAAGTAAAATGCTTCAATCTTTTTATAGTTTTTCCTAGTTATAAAGAGATCTGAGATATTCATAAAGTGGTTGTTAAGGACTTATCTCGTTCCTGAAAGCTTGTCATCTTGAGTCTTGTGCACAATAGACGGAATGTCTCAGATGTGATCTGCATCTGAGTTCTAACATACTTTATTTTTATCTGCGCTAATCTGTGAACTAAATCCATTTTACAGGATTTTCCTCTGATTCCCTCTATCATTTTTAGATAGTCATAAGCAGATCCTAGAGGAAATGCTTAATGTTAGAATATGGGACAGTCTTCCCGGGAATGATCTCCCTGGTATCAAGCACTGACTTGGCTCTGTTTCTACAACACGCCAGCATACCTGTACCAGAAGGAATATTTTTTGTAAGTGTGATCTCTTCATGAAACTATCCCTGTGCTCTTGTTGAGAGATTTCTTGGAACTTGTAATGGATGATTGGTTCCAAAAGATGATTCAAAAATTGATTTTTAGTCTGACAGATTTCTGTTATAGTTGCAGGTTTCCAACTTTACAGAAGGCATTTTTTTTAAAAGAACAAACTATTATTATGCTGAAACTAAAAATATCAGACTAGCACCAGCCTTGTAGAGCAGTGATGAAGTGGCATCAAGAATTTTTAATAGCTACAGAAAATAGCTTTCAAAAGTCTTTCACACACACAGGTGCACACACATGTGCATACAGAGAAGAGTAAAGTGTATAGGAGAAATACAGTTCTCCCTGATAAATCTTCCAATCAAAAATTGTTTTAAAGAAAACATTAAATTATGGAAATGGAAATAAAATGGAAAATTAAACCCCACATTTTTCCATATTGTTATGGAGTTAATGAAACTGGGAGGACTGAAAGGTTGAGGGTGAAAGAAAAAAACATAAGTTTCCTTTCTGGTTTTTGTGGCTCTGAGCAGGACAGTGCAGCTTGCACTGTGGGGCTGAGCAGGAATCTTCTGTCAATAAAGCACCAATTGTATTTCAGTATAGTGCTGTGAGTAAAGCAGAAAATTCATCCTTTATCCCAGTGTATTTTCCAAACATTCTTTCAAAATTTGCTGGCTCCCTTGCTTTTGTGTAGTCTGTCATTTAATCAAAGTTGGGCAATGGGAGCTCACTGGATAGTAATGCTTTTATAGCTGTTTGTTTTCCTTCCCTTTGGCAAATTACAAATGAGATCGTAGAAGTAGTGGAGAGTGTTTCCACTTAAACTGTCCGCCTTGATGCGAGAGGAGGCAGATGAACACGAGCTAGTGTTGCTGCTGATTCCCACTACGTTTCACAACACCCATCTGCCAGCCCAGCATGTGATCCTTCCCTCACGCCGAGCCGCAGAAATGTCCTGGTAGCCCGTCTGCCCAGGGAGGAGGAGGAGGGGGCCCCAACAGTGCCCACGAAGAGATCCTGGGAACAAGCATTAGCTGCGTAAAGCAGCAGTTGCTGCCTTTAAAGACCGATCCGCATGATGGTGCCTTTTAATTTTCTGGAAATCAGGATGGATACTGAATCAGGAATGCTTGCATTCATGCTAGCCTGGTTCATAAACTCTGACATTGTCTGAAACTGTTCTTGAAGTTACACCTTTAGCATGAGGAGAGGAATGATTAATAAAGTATTGTAGCAGATATTGTGTGGTGCGTAACGGCATGCAGATAATGTTGCATAAATACTTATTTCTCTGTGTTTTCAAACTTGTTTTCATTTAATTTAGATGAAGGGTGAGTAGAAGCTGCCAATTTGGCCATCTCTATGTGATTCGTTATTTCATAATACCTGTATCATATTCCCTTTCGCTCCTTTCCAAACTGAATTATCCTGCTCCCTTTAATCTCTCTGTGAAGGAGGCCACCCATGCATCTAATAAGGTTTTTTTGCTTTCTCTAAACATTTCCCAAGTACTTTTTTTAAGCTTGGAGACCATGTAATGCCATTTGTCAGCCTTAATAGTATGATCTTTTTTTTTTTGGCATCCCATACCTCCTTAGTGTAATGCACAGTAATCTTTCCTCCCTACCACACGTTCAAGATGCTATTTCCAGCTTAGGGTGTAATGTGGGAACATGACAGCAAGCAAGAACTTTTCTCCTACTGTGTTCAGTACCTGGGCTAACTTTGTAGCCCCAAAATTTATTTTGCAATTTCTTCTGTTTTCAGACCTTCACTAGAATACTTGCTCGGTGAATTTTTTCATCATATGAATTTTTATTTTAAAAAAAGAGGGAGAGAGTTATGATGCTGATCTTTGTCTCTAAAGGTTTACTATGTTGCTTACACCTGTTGGTTTCCTCTTAATTTTTTCTTTAGAAGCTAACCTTCTATCTGTAAATTATGCTAACTGTGCTTTATGCGATTTTTGACTTAGCAGGTGTTATAGCAGATCCTTTTAAATCTTGAATACTAGTGTGGTTATAAAGCATTCAGTCCTCTCTTTCCCGTACTTTTTTGTTTTATATACATAGGGGTGGTGTGCGTATGTGTGTATATATATACATGTTAAAAATTTAAATGGTTGAGCAGTATTTTCTGGAAATACTTATAAATACATGTGGTAAGTGGAGTCAGTTACAATAGTAGTAGTCACAGTTGCACGTGATGCTCTGAGACCTGTTTTCAGTTGTTTTATATCTTTTCCTTAATTTGAAACACTGAAGTTGAAATAGTCCACATCATCTCTTACCTCCTTACTTTTTATTTGAGCATTTCAGATGTTCCATTATGAGAGCGAGGTAAATAGGGACCTAGTGTTTGCTTTTAGCGCTGTAGGGAGGGGCATTGGCTCTGGTTGGAGGATGGCTCTGCTGTCAACTAACAAGTCAAGTATGTGCAGTGAAGGTGACTTGTCTGTAAGAGTTGTGCCCCAGTTACTCACCATACTCTTTCTTAATTTTGCAGCAAGCCAAGGACTTTCAGGAAGAAATTCCCTCTTTAGTTAGGGGAATCAAATGCTGCAATGGCAAATTGGATTCTGCACCTTCTAGTCACTGGTGCTGGGCAAACCGTTCAGGCAGAAGTTGCCATTAGTTGCTAACAGTGTGCCTTGCCTTCAGTTTGTCTCATGTGACAAGCTTCAGGTCTCTCTTGCAGAAGTGCCATGTTCTCCTTGCTACCGAAAGTGGCTTTGAAGCTGCGCTTTGAACACGCAGACGTGCTGAGCGCTGTGGAAAATCAAGCCCTCCATGTCCAAATTGGTCACTCAATTAGTAGTTCCTTTTGACAGTTCTGGCTTTGTTCTCTGTGGTTCAGCTTTACATTCTTAAAACCCTGGTAATGCCACCTAAACAGAATTGTATTATAGGGTAAACTTATTAATAGTTTTGAACATTTGGATACAACTGTAAGTTCCCAGGAGAAGAATTCACTCCAGGGTTTGTATGGGATGTGGTAAATAAGCCAGAGTTATTGTTTTCAGGCGCTGCCTTTCTGGTGTGTGCAAACAATGACTTCAGCAGCTTCCAGACTTATTTTTCTGATTCTTCCAGGCTATGGTCATGGTTTCATGAGACAGTAAACTGGGTATTGGAGGGCCTACAAGATGAAAAACACCATCACCACATGCTGCAATGCATTGAGCCATTGCAAGCTGGCTTTGCCTATTCAAATGCCTTCACAAGGTTTTGGAGGAGTTAACTAACTTTGTCTTGGCAGATCACCTGCTGGTTTCAGTACTCCATGTCCATGCTGCTCTACCTTTACAAGGAACTAACATGCTCTGACCTTCTTTTTGGTGAAAATGGGTGGAGTTGCCATGTTTGGGCTCTAGCTGGTGGCAGTGGTCCAGACAGGTTGCCCAGGCTGGGAGCTGTGCTGGGCGACGTGTCCACCATGGCCTCCATGCAGGCGATGCAGCGTTATCCAATTACACCTTTCAAAAATGACTGCTTCCTCAGGGGTTTATTGGGGGCTTCTTCATACTTAATTTTCCCTGTAAAGCCATGCTAGCCGGGCCCCTTGGTGGGGATGTGTGTTTTACCAAAGAAAAGGTTAAGCCAAACTGAAGAGCCTTTTTGCCATCCTCAGTTGTTGGCAGCTGGTGGGGCTGCGAGAGCAGTGGTGACTCTGCCAAGGTCCCGTTTCACACATCAGACACAAAATGTCAGCTTTGGTTGTGCTGCGCTGCAAATTTTAGCACACCAGGGCCTGGTGGTGGGTCACATCAGGCTAGTTGCGCTGCATTAATACAACTAATCAAAAATTGCCTTTTATTTTTGTGGAGTTAAATATACCAACAGAGTACTTGAAGTGTGCAGATGGCATTAGTGATTCAGCCAGGCTTGATACCTGGACTGGTATCAGCATTGCTCTGCACTCCTGCCCCTTCCTTTCCTTACTTGGCTCTTTCATCATCTTTCACCCCACCTCTCCTCTTTTAAATCAAAACCCCACTCCAACTAAAAATTTTTACTCTTTCCTCAGATTGTTGCTGGACTCTTCCCCCTGCCCCCTCTTTTGTTAAATCACCCAGAACACTCAAAGTCTTTGCAGCCAAAAATTTCCACGTAGTCTTTTAGTGAATGACCTTAATCCTCCTGTCTCTCTTTCTGCCTCTGATATCTGTGATTTCATTTGTTGTCTAGTTTTAACTCTCAATCAATGTGGCAGGAGTCATGGAAGCAGGAGTGGTGGTCTAATGGATTTGCTCCACACGAGCGGAGAGAATAACTTCAGGTTCTACAGCACCACTGTGAGGTTCCCATTGCTAAGTGAGCATGTGAGAAAGAAACAATATGGTTAACTGAGCTTATGGACCAGATGTCTCGAGAGTAATTTGCTTGTGGCACAGGGCAGAAATCCTACAGCACTGTAAGAAGAGGTGTATGAAATAGTCTGTTCTGAAAGTGCAGAAAACAGCTGCTCTGGTTTGTTCAAAGGTGCTACTTCTAAACTTTTGAAATCTGCATGAGAACCGGGGCTATTTTAATGTGTGCTTCGAGCTCTTGGCTCTACTGAAGAGCAATGTTTCCTTGTTTCTTTTTTTCCTTGTAAAGCAGCCTCGATTTGTGGGGCTTGGTGTAGGGTAATGCTGTTTATAATGAAGTCAGAATTGGCTTTTAGAGTCTGATGAATGAAAGTCCACAGTATAAGACTGCAGCTTTTTGTGAGAGAGACATCTGTGCTATAACAAGAGCAGGAGACCCAATTTAGACAAACGCTAGAAGGAGAGCTCAAGAAAAGGGAAGACTTTTTTTTTTTTTTCTAGCTTAGATTAAATATTTGTACAAATAAACTTTTCTTTTCAGCTGCTCATCAGAATTGCTGCTGCACCACCAACTTGGCTTTGAATTTTGTTCTGATTGCCCAACAAGGCTGTACACGAAGAGTGTTACGGAAGAGCAGCTTAAACAAAACATGTTTGTTTTGCAGCAGAACTAGAGGTTTTGGGCTAGAGAGAAAAAAAATTGGGGAGAGGGAAAAGACAGCGTGAAGAGAAATATGAACAAATGAAGGATGTGAATAGAAACTGGCTGTGGCAGTAAATACATGTGAAGCAAGAAACACATGCAGGAGTTGGGTTCTGTGTTTTGGGAGTGAGTTACAATAGAGGATCTGGTTTTGAATACAGTCATGATGACTTCTCCCAGCTGGATCAGCTGGTTCAGTTAAAAATGCTCTCACCAATGAAACTTGCTCCTCACACACACACATACACGTACATCCCAACTGCTACTGAAACTTTTTTACTAGTATGTTATAAATACAATCCGTTTAAAAGGCTACCCCTGTGGTGTTGATCACACTTCAAATCTTGCTGCATGAGACTGTTGGTGATGAAAATACAAGCGTCTACTGAGGACAGTGCTGGAGAGAGCAAGTGTCTTTGACCCAAGAGGGTTTTTTCTCATTCCTGTTAAAGAAATCTCCAATCCTTTGAGGAAACTTCTGATAAATCTGTTTGGTAAAGCAATGGTTTTAAAGTCCAGATGGACACCGTCTCTGACTGAAATGGCTCAGAAGAGGATTAATGAGCAGCATAAGTGGAGAATTCCTGGTGAAGAGCAATAGGATGCTGAATGTGCCATCCTGGGCTATTCCTCAGCATTAACAGCAAGGAGCCTTTTGGTTCTTAGGTTTCTTGGAGCAGATGCAAGGCTAGTGTGTTGACAGGTTTTTTGATGGCTGATCAGAAACATGCTGAAAGCGGCAGTCTTTAGAGAGAATGTAGTAGCTTTAAAAAGTTGTGTGGATTCAGCTTTAAAGCATTTTTCTTGATGAAGCAGGTGACTTTAATACATGGGTCTTAATGTAAAGGTGTGCTTAGCCCAGAATACAAATTTAATATGAAAATAGTTTACAAAATATTGATTAATTATCCAGCAAAGTCTCTGGCTTTCCAGCTTTGCTCTTTTCCTGTGTGATTAAGAATGAAAATTAAGTTCTGTGATTTTTTTTTTTTTTGCAGTGATGCATCTTTGGGACAGTGGGCATGAGCTGATGGCTTGCACAGTTCAAATGTAATAAAAATTTGTCTTAACTAACTAAAGATGTTAGCTCACATAGTAGTATGGTCTGCTGTGTAACACGGCATGGGTGCTGACATACTGTAGGGGCAAATGAATTACTATATCGGACTAACGAACTCTTCGGTACCCCATTTCAATTAAACATCTCAAAATGGATATCTAAGCCCAGCTTTGCTGTTAAAACCATGACCCCACCTGAGATTCACCTGCCGATTTCAGTGGAGGCACAATTACCACTTAAGCCATCTATGGAAGAAGGCTTTCCTCTAACGGCATGTGGTGACTCTCCTGGTTTGTGTGGAAGTATGGCCACAGACCTGCAAGACCTCCCAACTCTCCCACTTGTCTGTGCCAATGTTTCAATTGTCTTTAAAAGGATATTCCACAGACTTTTAATTTATTTTAATCCCCTGGAGCTTCTCTGCTTCAATAATATTTCATGGATTTCAGAGCAAACATTTCCTTAGTTTCAAATTGTCAGATCTGAGGAGCCGCAGAAAAATTATTTTGTAGAGGATTGAAAAGGCAAACTCTCAGACTAGGCTAATCTCTGCTTGTACGAGGAAAGGACAATTAACAACTGGTCTATGAAAACAAAAGAGTTGCCAAGAAATCTTACAGACCCTGTATAAGAAGGATGGAGAAATTCTGCAGTTAGAAGTAGTAATGCATTGCTCAAACATGGCGAGCAGTGCATTGCCTTTTAAATATCTGCTTTGAAATATTACCTTTGAAATGTCTGCGTGCGATTTCAGTTTTTGTAGGTAGGAAAGATTGGAAATTTTGTACTGATATAAGTTGACGTTAAGTTTGAGCATACAAACAGCAATTTATCTTAAAAATATCTTTTATATTGTAGTAAAAGTATACATTACATTAAGAATTCAAAAATTATAACTTATTAATCTTGAGAGGATGTAGACCCTGAATTTTACATTTTTAGGGACTGGATTTTCGTGCACACTCAGTTGCTGGTTATAGCAAGTGAAAGTGTACTGCAATGAGAAGCTACACAGATGCATTTTTATGCCTACTGCTTTTCTTCTGTCCTTCTGTCCTTCTTTCCTCCCTTTCCCAAAAGGGATTCCTCCCTATCATACTGACATTTTGCCTTAAGAGACTACTAGCCAAAGCGAAGAACGGCACTTTGGTCACAAAGGAGATTACGAGTTTACTTTTTCACTTCTTGGTGTAAATTGTGAAATTTTTCAGCACCATTTTAATTATTGAGTCAAAACATTAGGAAGCAATGAACCACAATGATGTACTTGTGTTCTGTGCTAGTTACTGCCATAGTCACTATTTTCTGGAATGTTATTTCTCACCAGAAAGAAAATAAAGTGTATATCATGTGAATTTTAGAAGCGATACAACTGTGGGTATTTTAATGTTTCTACTGGAATATTTTTGACACGTTGATTTTCCTAAAAGTCTCATTATTTCTTGCCCCTTCTTCATCCTCCATTTGACTAGAATGAAACAAATTATGCCGAATAAAACTGCTTTATTTGGATTTCTTTTGCCCCTGGTTATATGCTTTTTACCTGTTCTTCCCTAGCTTTCTACCAAATGACACGTTAATTGTGACTTTCAAATAATTGTGACAATACTGTTGTGAGTGTTTCCTCTGGAATGAGTCTTCGGGCAAAATAATTGTGGAACAGCTTTTGATGTGCTGGTTATTCTGGCTAACTTCTCTATGTAGACAAGCCCCCACTAAGTAAGGGAATAACATTTTTATGTATATGATCTATGTGTTTTGGGAGGAAAAAAACCCCCAACAAACAGTAGCAGAGTTACATATA